TAATCATTACGGCGGTCCTAGAAACCAACAAAATAGAACCACACGTCCTATTCTATTATTCCATGCTAATGTATCCGAGCAAAGGCCTGCTTTGAACACTCTAATTTTTTCACAGTAAAAGTCCTGGTTCCCCCCACAGCCAGTAAAGGCCATGGGGCTTCCCAGGAGGAAAGGTCCGGCCGGACCAGTGCACGCGGTGAGGCGGACCGGCCAGCCAGACCCAAGGTTCAACTACGAGCTTTTTAACTGCAACAACTTTAATATACGCTATTGGAGCTGGAATTACCGCGGCTGCTGGCACCAGACTTGCCCTCCAATTGTTCCTCGTTAAGGGATTTAGATTGTACTCATTCCAATTACAAGACCCGAAAGAGCCCTGTATCAGTATTTATTGTCACTACCTCCCCGTATCGGGATTGGGTAATTTGCGCGCCTGCTGCCTTCCTTGGATGTGGTAGCCGTTTCTCAGGCTCCCTCTCCGGAATCGAACCCTAATTCCCCGTTACCCGTTGCCACCATGGTAGGCCACTATCCTACCATCGAAAGTTGATAGGGCAGAAATTTGAATGAACCATCGCCGGCGCAAGGCCATGCGATTCGATAAGTTATTATGAATCACCAAGGAGCCCCGAAGGGCATTGGTTTTTTATCTAATAAATACACCCCTTCCGAAGTCGAGGTTTTTAGCATGTATTAGCTCTAGAATTACCACGGGTATCCAAGTAGTAAGGTACTATCAAATAAACGATAACTGATTTAATGAGCCATTCGCAGTTTCACCGTATAGATTGCTTATACTTAGACATGCATGGCTTAATCTTTGAGACAAGCATATGACTACTGGCAGAATCAACCAGGTAGCTAACTTTTGAGCCCGGAGGCCGAAGGCACCCCGGGCCTGAACCCCCGGAGGGGACAGGAAGTAGCTAGACGGAAGGAGTTCCCGGTTACAGAAACTCACCGGGGACGACCAGGCGGCGCACCGCGTTGGACATCCGGACGGTATTCAATTGCCCCCACTGAGATTTTCAGAGGACGGTCCGCGGCAGGGCCGGGCTCCAACCCGCGAGGGGGAGCCCGTCTGCCGCATCGGTCCCTCCGATGGAGGATCACGGCCCCAGACACGCTGACGAGCAGCGGCTTCCGGAGCCGACTTTCCCCCTGGAAATCTGATTCGAAAACGTTCGCCAGCGGCCAACAATCGACAGACCCCAACCGGAACCGGAGCCCGCGAGGGACTCCGGGATTCCGACACCCGCCGCGAGACCCGCTTCTCCGGAATGGAGGGAAGGGCAGGCGGCGGCAGGTGCTCGAGCCCGCCGTGGATTGAAGGGCCCACCGGGTTCTCCGATGATGCCCTTAACCATACGTGGAAGGCTCTATCCGACATGGAACTAAGGGTGTTTGGTGGACGACCGCGCAGGATCGAGAAAACCGGGCGTCGAGGGGTCCGGGAGCTCATAGAGTACAAGCCGCCCAGGTACCCCTCTCCGCCGCCGTCAATCTCGCCGCGATGCCACCTGTAGAGAAGCGCATGAGCTTCTTGCCTACACATACTCACCGGACGCTTCTCGGGTCGTCTTCTGCCGGACTGGGCTCCTGGTACTGGAAATGACGGTGGGGGGGATGGTTTTCTATGGGAAAATAGAAACTGGGCCACCTCAACATAGGAAACGGGCGGGATTTTTCCGTCATTGGGCCTGGAAAAGTGGGACTTGGTCGTTTTGCTCTATTGCCATAGTCACCGGCGTGGGATACATACGGCCCTGTCTATCCGGCTAGGACTGTGGTCCGGCCGGAGCGCGCGAGCGGCAACATCTCCGCAGGGCGTCGGAGATGCACCGCGCCTCCATCACGGCCGGACTTTGTTCCCGGTCAGGAGGTTCTCAGGTTCACTCCGCGCCCTGTTAACGGTCTCCGGGAGCATCGCGCGATGTTCCGGCCTCTTGCTGACACTTCTCACCCGCCGGCCGCCCTCGCGCTACTGCCCGGGCGTGTCACCGGACAACTCTCCCTCTCCGGAGCACCAGCCCGGTCAAAGGTCCGGACACCCAACTGTACCCTGGCAAACGGGCACCCGGGGCGTGACCCGGCGTTACACGCTTTCGCGGGGAGCCCTTCGCGCCGGGCTGGCCCGCGCCGGTGTAGACGGGCCGGAGGACTACGCTCCCTGATTAAGAGCTTTAACCGGACCGTCCTGAAAGCCCCTGGGTACGTCAAGGCCGGCTTCGGGCGCCGCGCCGGCCCGGACCACTTGAACACCCGCTCGCGCGCTCGCGCCTCCGGCCCGGGACTACTTTTAACCCGCCCTGGCTAAAGACGCCCGGAGCGTCACGCGCCATCCCGGCCGCGCACCTCCGGCCCGGGCTTCTTCCGCGGTTAAGGCTTTTAACCAGTCCTGGTTAAACATCACCGGCGCGCCATTTGAGTTCCCCGCCTCCCGCCGGTGACGCCATGACTACACTCACAAACATTGTATCTATCTTCAGACAGGTGTATATCTCTGTGGGTGTAAGAATTTTCTAATTTTGCATATCTGAAATTGACAAATGTACAACAATTAGCTTTACAGATACTAGGAAAATTATCACATTTTTCAAATGAAACCATGATTTCTACTTCTCAATTTAAATTATTTTTATTGCTTTAAATGACTTTAAATCTCATTTGAGTGTTATCAAAAAGCATTACTTTTTAAAAAATTAAAAATAGTCTAAAAAAAACCTTAAAATGTCTAAAAATAGTAACTTTATGCCAAGAATGAGACTAAATGAGATCAAATAGAACCACTTTCTTATTTTTTTCAAGTCATGGTTCCATTTTAAGATCTGATATATAGTCACTTTGCATATTTTTTTAATGGCTAGTCCCAGCGGGATTCACGCCAAGAAATGTATAGGACCAGACCAAATGGAACCAAACGTGAAATTCATGGTCCCAGCGGCCAGTCTAGCTATAACTGGTTTTTGAACTTCAATATCAGTCATTAACTGAGAAAAGAACTGCTGATTAATTTCATTTCTAATTCTGAAAATGAGATTTGAGTTTAGCTTATTCCTTTGTAAGATGTCCTAGTTTGAGACTTTGAGAATAAGTCTTCTATTTCTGGAGATTTGAAAGTTTTTCTTCTTTTACATTTTTTTCTCCACTTTTCTATGAATAGATGTATGAGCATTATTCTTCTCAGTTTTCTCAGGATTTTGAGCAGGTTTTGAGATAGCAGGTTTAGAGATAGCAGATTCAGCTGCTTGAGCATATGTTTTCTTCTGATTCAAAGAAGAAGAAGAAGTAGAAAAAGAGAAAGAAGAGCAAGATGAGAAGTCAGTCATTGTACTAGGAATTTTCAATGTTTTTTGAACTGTGTTTGAAATTCCAAGTTTGAACTTAATCATCTTCTGTAGTTGTCTAGCCTGAGTATGAAGAATTAACAGAACTTCTTCATTCATCTCACTTAGACACTGCTTTTCAAGAATCTTGCTTTCTTTTTCAAGTTTCTGTATTTCAAGAACTTGTTGTTTCTCTATTTCTTCTTTCTTTCTTCTCTTCAGAATTTCAATCGCAGGAATAGTATTTGAGAAAGCATCTTTTTCCACATCAACTGAGTGTATTTTTGAACTCATTGTTCTCACTCAATGAAAAGTTAATCAGACTGTTTCAATTGAGATATTTATTGAACTCTTTTGAAAAGTTGGTCAGACTTTTTCAATTAAGAGATTTCTAAGTCTCTTTTCAATTGAAAAGTTGGTCAGACTGTTTCAAAAGAAGAATAAAAGACTTTTGTGTATAAAATACCTGATTTTTTTCACACTGGTTCAGTAACTAGGTTAGATTTTTAAAGAGAATCTAATAAACTAAAATTGATTTTTAAGATAAATCAATAAAATCTTTACAATCTCTTTCTTGAAATACAGTGAGAAAAAGTATGATATCAATTGATAATACATTAGATGATATGACAGTTTTTGAGAGAAAAACTAATAAAAAATAAATTAATTTTTTGCAGAGAAATTGATTAAAACTATTTAATTTTATTCTAAATCATTCAATTCTTCTCACACAACAAGTGTGCAACTCAAATCAGTTAATAGAGAGTGTAAAAAAGAATTAAGTATTAATGAAAGCTCTTCAGCTTAGACTGACCGTGTGACCGTGTCTGAGACCAGGATCAGATTTTTTGATAGTCTCATTATCAATTCGACTGATCTCATTACACAGTTTTAACATTAGATAGTAGTTTCATACTGTCTCAGTGAGACTCACTGTCTACTCTTGTCACATTTTTCAAGTGAGACCATGATTTCCACTTCTCAATTTAAATTATTTTTATTACTTTAAATGACTTTAAATCTTATTTAAGCATTATCAAAAAGCATTACTTTTTAAAAAATTAAAAATAGTCTAAAAAAAACCTTAAAATGTCTAAAAATAGTAACTTTATGCCAAGAATGAAACTAAATGGGATCAAATGAGATCACTTTCTTATTTTTTTCAAGTTATGATTTCATTTTAAGATCTGATATATAGTCACTTTACATGTTTTTTTGATAGCCAGTCCCAGCGGGATTCACGCTAAGAAATGTATGAAACCAGACCAAATGGAATCAAACATGAAATTCATGATCCTGGCGGCCAGTCTACTTCAGCTACTGAAAAAGTAATTCTTACTTAAAAGAATATGAAATTATGACAGAAAACAGCTCTGTTTTTAATTCTTTGTAAGAATATTGTATAAAACTCAGAGAAAAACATCTTACTTTTTCAAGAGAAGTAAAAAACTATTTCTAAGATCTTTTTTTTTTTTTGCATTAACTGCTGCAGAAGAATGAGATAGAAACTGCTAAGATATACACTACTGTATACTCTCTATCAAGACTTTCTCTCTTTAGAGTCTTGATATTATAGAGAATATAAGTCTGTTTCTATATGATAATATAAATATTGTCAGCAGAATGTAGAGAAACTGATTATATATATCTTAAAATAGAAGACTTTGTCAATGATTATATTAATATAGAGTTAATTCTCAAATTCAATAGAAATCTAGTGTTGCTGTTCTCAATTCCTTGCAGATTCTATTGAATATTGAGATATTAAAAGTAGATTTAATATATCTCACTATGCAGGGATCAAAGGCTCAGTCAGATCTTGAGGTATACTGATTTTATAGTTGTTGTGTCTGCTGATTATGTATTGAATACAGTTGCCAAGGTATCTTTTTGTACTTTTCTGCCGGGGATGGGCCAGATCGGAAGGGGCGGTACAAGGGTGGGACTTGGTGTAAAGACAGAGAGGGTTTTTCGCGGAGGATGCACTTCAGATGTGTCTGTTGATTATGTGCTTGATACTATTGCCGAGGTATCTTTTTGTATTTTTCTGCCGGACGTGGGCCAGATTGGGAAGGGCGGTACATGGGTGAGACTTGGTGTTGATGTTTTGGAACATCAAAGATAGACAGGGTTTTCATGGAAGTTGCTTCTCAGATATCTCCACAATTACAGGTCAGGGATCTTCCAAAATCAAGAAGATTGGCGCATATGGCTAGGTCTCTTTGCCTTACAATTTGTATGGCAATTTGGCCCAGGGTTGTGGTGTGGTAGGGGTGAACAGGGGATAATCCCACACAGGAGTTTCGAACAACGTCTGGTTCACGTTTGGCTGGGTAGCTCCACCACCACACGGGGTATGCGGTCGGCGATGGGGTCAAAATGCTCGTATGATCGAGGGCTTTTCGATGGATCTATCGGCGGGTTCTTATTCGAAAAATTGAGCGAGTCCGTGGTGAAGCGCTTGTTGAGAAGACTTGATGTGATTGAATTCTTTCAAGATTGATCACCTGCTTCTAAGATCTTGATGTTGAAGTCAGGAATAAATGTTGTAAGAGAAGTGTTTCTCTGTCAGATACTCTGTAATTAATCTAAGACTTTCTATTGTATAGCAGTGCCTCAGAACAGAATATCAAGATGTTTGATAATATTATAAGATATTCACAATACTGATTTATATGCTTTTATTCATGAATGAAACTTCTGTTTCATGCGATTCTTCAATCATTCATTGATATATCAATCTTGATTGATTAGTGAACTGATGATATCTTCATTCACACTCAGTTTCATGAGCATTTTCATCCTTTATGATGAGTAGAGAGTGAGATTAAAAGTATTGAAATATACAGAAGCATCTAAGCATTCTTTCAGTGCTTTTATATTCAATTCTGTAGATGTTGAAATTGCATAAGTTTCTTGTTAAGTTAATCATTGAATTTCCTTGTATTGAAGTTGTTGAGTTGCATGTATATCAGCTATCTGTTACTGTTATAATTTCAATATTACTTAGAGTCACTGTAGTATCACTTCTATATTTATATTCAAGAGTTCTCTCATATTATCATTAGATATGATTATATTGTTTATTGAATATGTGATATCTGTGAAATCTGAAGAAGTGTAATTATATGAATATCTTATACATCTGAGATGTCAGAACTCTCAGGTCTTTCACTGATATTCTCTTATAAGATCTTATTACAGAGTCAGAGTGACTGATAAGCAAGCTTTTATCTGAGAACTCAGTGTCTGCTTAGCTGTTTGATCATTTTTCTATTTCTTACATATTGTTACACATTCAGATACCTTCTCAATGAATAATCATTTCTAATGAGAAGACAAAGAATATTTTTCTAGTATAAGAGACCTACACTGAATAGATTGATATAATATTTATAGGTCTTATATAATAAAGAGAAAAACATTAGAGAAGGAAAGAAAGAGAAAGTGTGAGAATCAGTGATCAGAGTGAATATTTATACACATACATGATGATATACATGGTGAAACTTCGGGGTGAAAGAATAGGGGTTTTTCATACATAGTGGAGCTTTTGGGCGGAAGAATAGAAATTCTGTAGATTTTCAGCTGAGAATTGGCGGCCGAGAATCGGAGTAGTAGGAATCTGTGAAGTGTAATGGAATAGTCTATATAATTGATCGGGCGCAGCCCGCCACAGTATATCTTACTCTCATTATGAGAGAGCATCTGTCATTGAGTTCTAACTACTGAGATGATAGTGTATAGTGAAATGAAAACAGCTTAATAGCTCAGATCATCACATCTGACATTTAATGAGCTTATAGATGATTATGAAATGCTTGAGATTTTTATAATCTGTGATTATCTCAAATTTCAAGACACTTCAGAGTTCAGAATCTCATTCTTTTAGACAGTGTATTATTATGAGAAATTTCTTATTATAGATCTCATAATTACATTCAGCAGGACTCAGTTTCTTAGATATAACAATATATAATTATAAAATATCTTCATTATTATATTGTAATATAGCTTCTTCTGTGATATAGTCAGAGAAGTTAGGTTTGATAAGTATCTTATAATCAGAATCAAATGTTATTAACAGAGAAGTATTAATGAATATCTTTTTTATCTGTGTGAATATAGCTTCAGTGTTCACTGATCACTGAAATATAAAGTTCTTCTTAATAAG